TTTTGTTCGTGGGTATCGTATTGTAGGATTTTTTTTAGTAATTTTAAAATAATACATTATGCCTTTTTGTAAATTTATTTAATTTTATTCTGTGGCCTTATTAATATTATATGTATATTTATATTCTAAATTACATAGTTTAGAGTTGTATTAGTTAAAATTACATTGACGAACAGTCGTCTTCATAAAATATAAATAAAATGAAATAAGCAGTTCATTTTTTTTTTAATTATCATTTTAATAATGATAATATTTAAAATCTAATAAATAAAAAAACTTATTTATCGTAATACTATATGGGACGTCTTAATATTCTATTTAAAAATTAATCCATAAATTCAATAAGTTGATAATTGTAGAGCGTTGACACATGCTCCTTTCCCCACCACCACCGGTTAGTGAGCTTGAGATACGCTTATGTAAACACCTAACTGTCAATATAATATGCAGATAACATACCTAATCATTTTTTTTTTGTATAACGTATTTTAATTTTTATGTTTTTTTATTGTATTCTAAGTTTTTATAAATTATAATTTTTTATTCTTATTCAAAAATGTATGACATGTCGATATATATAGTTTAAAACTTATAAATTTAGTGAATATTATGTTGAAATATATGTGTAAATAAGGTCATACAAGCCCAACTTCAGAGCTTCATTATTATTATTCTATTCGTACATATCAATCGATATTAGAAGTGAAAGCTATAATTATTATAAAATTGGCAGTGTATTATGATATGTTTTTAGTATTTATACTCTCCCTGGCCTTACTGAAAACAATGCATTTTTAAGTACTTTGATTGTGTAATAACTAATAACGTTTTGTTTTATCAACATCAATATTACGAGAAAAGTTATTATTAGTTTAAAATAGGTTATTTTTATGTTCATCAAATTAGAATAAACTTTTTTAACTAACGTTGTATAAAAAAAATAAAAATAATATTGCATAGTAAAAGAGCTCTTATATCTTTTGTTGTGAAAATTTGGTTTTTTACTATTACTACCTAACCGCTTTTTGAATTTTTCAGCTCGAAACTGGTTTTCTATAAATAGTAATTACTAATCGACTATCAATGATATACTGATGGAGGACCATTTAAAATTACTTGAACTAGTATCAAATATAATATATTATAAAATTTAGATTTTATTTCAAATTTTCCATGTTAAACCCTTCAAAAATCGAATGTGTGGCGTTCTTTTTACATAGAATTTTGAAATTAATCGTTAATCTTATTACTGTACATAGATGATAGATACCTTCTTAATAATTCGAGAAAAGTTCTTATAGTATGAGTACTTGTTCTCATGTATTAACTTAATAATAATAACACGTAACATTAATAAAATGTACTATTTGTAAGTAGTAAAACTTGATGGAAAATATATAAGTAATGATACCTTCCGTGACTAGCAAAGATTTTAGCGTAATATTATGCAACAAATTGATTCGATCTTTTGATCAAACAATTTTTGATACTGTTGCTTACATTTTCAAGCGTTGTGGATACATTGATAATATCATGACCAGTGATCACAATGTTCTTGGTGCAACAGTGTACCAACAATTATAATAATAAAGTCGTTCCTGTATTATGATATTATTAAACTATTTTGATTCCTGCTTCGCTGATCATTCTTCCCTGATGCAGCGTAGACACCAATTTATGCATTGTTCGTAAACTACTTATAATTTACTACGTACCAATATACTAACTGCGTGACATTTACATAACGGAATCGCTACGTCAACAGGTGTGAATAACCGGTCCGTAGAGAATACAAGAAATTTGAGTTGTCGTTATGGTGTAAAATATTATTTATAATTTTATACAAGGTGATTTACCAATCACGCTCACTCCAATTTTTCATTTAATAATAAATTTATTCCAATAATTCTGATTTTGAAATACTTTTGAAATATTTTGCACTATTGTATACACTTCTGTTTTTTAAACGAGAATCCCATTTTTACTATAAATAATTAAGTAGACAATTTTTTGAAAATTTGTTATTTTTCAGATATTTAAATAATTGTGTTGTATAAATTATTATAATTTAAAAAAATAGTTATCATGTTTTCCAAAATCCAAACATTGATCTATTATCCTTACAAGTTACAGCATAAAGTTAAATAATTTAAAAATTACTTGTTTGAATTTTTATTTTTATAAGTAAAGATTTCACTTAATATGAAAATCTCAAAAATTTGAAAATATAATTTTCAAGTATATATTTTACAGAGTACTAAAAATTAGGTTTGGAATAACTGCATTAATGAAGGAGAAAATGGAGTGAACATACTTGGTGAATAAATCTGTGAAATGTGTATATATATGCATATATTTCTTTCTATATAGTCATACAGGTAGTATTATGTATATTGTATACCCATTACCCATACCTATCGGTTGTCATTAGCGCGCCTCTCGATGCACCTACTACAGAACGATTCACTATAAATAGTAACAATAATATTATTAATATTTACGACAACCTGCAAAATCCGGGACGAGAAGTTATTAAATAATGTTATTTAAGAAATAAAAATATGTACATATGGTTTTATTTTCAGAGGGGGGAATATATTTTATACACGTACCAACGATGAATAGGTCCATAAAGTATTATAATGCGTATTATTCTGCAGAACGACTGTAATAGTCTGTGCGCGGGGTTTAAGGTTTTAATAGTGATAATAATAACAGAAATAAAAAAAAAAATAATAGTACTTACTGCTATGCATTTATATCGACAAAATTAAAAAAAATTAACTAAATTTATGTTATTTAATTTTTTTCTTACTTGGTATAGCTATACGACTTTTATGAGTGAGGTCTGATGGGATACAGCGAAATCCGTTATTTTCATATCTTTGGTTATAACACCAAAACTATATTCTTGGCTTTAAATTGTAGCCACCCAAAATACTGAGATATCATTTTTAGACTAAATTTTACCATACGATTTATACAATAACACTATTGCGCATCCTAAGTTCTGACGATGACATATATTTACATGGTTATTTAATTGCTTTTGATCTTGTGTGATTTAATAATTTTGAACGACTACGTTTCAACTGTAACAGAAAATAATTTTTGTTAATTAAATTACGTGGTAATTAATTGTATATTTTTCATTTAGGATGTGTAGTATTTTTGTGTTTTTGAATAAAACTAAATACTCCTCAGCTAATTCTTCCTGATGATATTTACCGTTTTTAATTATTACGAATTACGATCATATAATTATTCAGTTCACGTCACTCATATAATATACGTGACACTCGCTATATGTCTATAACTATACAATTAGCTATTGTTTTAAAGTTATATAAATTCTTTCATGACGCGAAGAATGTTTGGGAATTTTTTTAATTATGAGTTATAACTGTTATTTTACAACTTGTTTTAGTATTGAAAATCATTTATTCACTTGTGTTGAAGTAGATTTTTTATCTGTCGCTCTTACAATTATATAGTTAAATTTTTTTTCTATAGTACTGTTTACTATTTTTTTATTTTTTTTTTTGTTTTGCGATGTTTTGTGTTTATAAAATATATAGGTCACGCGAACAAACGGATCGTAAGGGTTTTGACATAAAACATTTTGATCAAAAATAATGTATATCCAATGGCGCATTTTACAAAATCCCTAAACGCATAGATTACATTGTAATAATATATTTACTTTTTACGCCACTATAATAACAATGTTTATAATATCCCGCGTACACTGTACACACACAACTTTGGTTGATATAGAGTGAAGAGGCTTGATTCTTCAAAAGTCTTTCAATCTGTACTCTTAAAATTGACATGGCCGTTTTCGACCAAAGACGTACTTTTCTTTTTTCAACCGATTCACTTTTCGACCAAAACAAAATTGTATGTAATATATGTAAAATAATAAAATAATTGGTATATAATTTTCGTAAAATTAGGACAATTTTATAATTATATAACTTTGAAATTGATTAAAAGTATAAAATGCATAAAATGTTGTTAAATAAATGTAGAAAATTATTTAAAATATAAAAATATCTATATATTAACATTATTTTTATATTAATATGTCGCAGTATGTAATAAGTATAATATTATATAAAATAATAAAACTTAAATCATATGAGTAGGTTTGTAACATATTATCATAAACATATTGTTAATATATATAAATATTCTTATATTTTAAATAATTTTCCACATTTTATACTTTTAATTATTTTCAAAGTTATATAATTATATAATTGCCCAAATTTTTCGATCATCAGCCGAAAAAGGAACGGTACGTTTCTGCTTAAAAACGGTATCGCCCCTTAAAATAAACCAAAAAATAGTTGATGTATTTTACCTACTTAAGAGGACGTCATACCAGCATGTGTTGTCTTCATTTTACACACGTACGACATAGACAAAATGCTTTTCGCAGTCTGAGTAGAACTAGCTCAATTTTGGTTCTGGAGTAAATATTTCTAATAAAATTGAATTGTGATAATATTTCTGAGGGCAAAATGTTGTGTTTTTAAAAAAAAATTAAAATTTTGAAAATTTAAAGGTCATTTTTAAATGTTGACATTTTTGCTATTTCTGAACAATATATAATGAACGTTAATTAGGAATAATAGAAAAAAACGCAGCGTCTTACAGACATCCTCTTAAAGAATATTATAGTCCAAAATGTCTTATTGAAAAATACTTATTATTATAGAATAGTTTCTTAGTAAAAGTGGCTATAATATTATTTTTAATTTTGACTAACATTTAATGGAACTTCTTACGTAAAAACTAACCACCTACCATAATTTCGAAAAAAAAATAGGAAAGTACTTTTTGGTCATAATTATGTATTTTATGTTGTTAACACTACCCCTACCCATCATAATTTTACCAGATTTCTAACCATACACGATGATACACAACATCATTGGACTTTATACATTTACTTTTATTTTTTAATATTAATGATTCTTTTTGTTTTTTCAAAGGTCTAACGCGTCATTTTGAACAGCCCATTATTTTTAACTTAACAAAATGGTGAAACGTATCAGTAAACACCACTACGTGGCTACACCCGGTAGCAGCAAATACCACCACAGATCGTCGGAGACGCTACCGTACGTGCACAGAGGATATTCCACCGATGGTAAGTAGAAATATTATCAGGGGAGGACTGACCAAAGAGGCAACGTGGCAATCATCTTTTGGGCCCTTGATAGTGTCAATAAAAATTAATAAAAATTATACATATTTAAGTATAAAATGTAATATTAAAATATAATAGTACAACACCATTTATTTGAAAATGAATGAAAATGAATTAAACACTATTAACTAAAAATATTTATTAATTAAAATATGATAATAATAGGTTCATTTGATTAATTTTCTGGACCTCTCAATACTCAGTTCACCCCTGACTATTATTATAAAATGTTAATAATCATCTTAAAAATATACCTATACAAAGTATTATTAAGATTATTTTATTAAACTACGCTGAACATTTATTTTTATTATGTTAAAATAAACAAGACCGGAAGTATTATTGAATCCCAACACTAGTTAAAACTTTCTCAAACATCAGTCCTATGTGCTCAGAATATATTATTATTTGTGCACTAAAATACGGGCTTACGAATGTGAAAATAGAAAATAGTAATTTTTTTTTTAGATTATAATATTTTATCTCATCAACCATAATAATTATTATGTAGTTTAACGGGAGTGATAAATTAAGAGTTAACACAGTTTATAAGAATACATTTTATTTACTCATTTTAGGAGTTATAAAATATTTCGTAAATTGTAAGAAAAAAATATTAATTTGAACTAATTTTCAATTATTTTTATTAAATTTGAGCAAACTAATTATCCTTATATCAAGAGCAAAATTTTTTGAGTAGGCATACGTAATTTGAAATTCACTTACAAGTATTCATTAATTATCTATGGGTGATTAAAATAAATATTTTTTGAACAATAGTCGTTTATTCGTATTTAAAATAACTCCAATCAATTAAACGTATTTTAATTTATACTCGATTTTTAAATTTTACTCCATAACTGTTAGGAAGTATTAAAAGAACAACAACAACAACAACAATAATAATAATAATAATAATAATAATAAATTGTACAACTTGATTATCGGATTTGAATTTAAATCTCATCTAAAAAAAAAAAAAATTTACGAATAAAAGATAAAAATATTTTTTCTCCTATTACTCCCAATGAAAACAGTTGCAAGCATCGATATTTTCTCGTGATATCAAAAAAATTTAAAAAAGGGTAGAAAAGTTACTCTTTGTGTCTCTATATCACTATGCCATTGAGGCACCCTCCAATTCCTGTATTACTACATTCTTAAATACGCTTTTAAATAAACCCAACGATTTTAATGAGAACATACTTGCGAACAGGTGAAGACAGCCAAAGAACTCTGTCCGAGTACACGATCGCCACGGACAGGCCGTCGTCCCGTGGTCACCGGACGCCACCCAGGTCGAAACGGTCCAGGAGTCTGGAGAGGCCGTCCAGCAGCTCCCGAGCCAGGTCGGCGGCTAGCCACCACGATTCGGACGTTTACGTGACCAGCGCCGCGTACAGACCGCCGTCCGAAATGAGGTGAGTAGAAACAGATCGTAAATCAGTTATCACTACAGTTTTTGAGCGGACTTGGGTCTCGGTATATCTGGTTTTTAGACATCATTATAAATTCGTAACTAATGTATTCGCCTCATGTGTATATAGGTATAGGTCGTGGTGAATAGTACACAAGCATACCAGTCACTAGTGTACCAACAATAACACCCAACACTGTAACGCCTTATACCCCTAAGTCCTATATGTGCATATAACCTTTCTATTGATTGCAACTTGCAAGGGGTGTATATTATTTATTTTGTCGTGTGTGGATGCGCTAATAAATAATTCCGCTTTGAATACTGTAATAATTGCATATACAGGTACCTACTGTTTTTTTTTTTTTTTATCAATGTTATTAGAGGATTTTCACATAGATATTTATCCGCAACATGACGACTCGACGACTGTACCACTTTACCCACAAAAATCTGAAGTAGGTAGGTATAAACAAATAGGGATGAAAAACCATGCGCGAGTCGCCATGCCGTAATTAAAATAATGTATTATGTATAGGTACCACTCTTCTGTCGAATATATAGGTATATATTGTGTGCTTCTAATCTATAGTGTAAGAGAGTGTGTAAGTGACTTTGGACGGGATTTTACATTTATTTAATAAAATTAAATTCATTTTTTTGATTTTCTTTTGTTGCTTTTAAAATATGTAATTATTATACTATTTATTGTATACTTAAACTAAATCATACTATTTTTAATAATTTATTATAAACTCCAATCAAAGGTACGACTTGAAGTTAGGTTGATTTATTGTTTCTTACTTTGTAAATGGTAGTTTTCTTTTGCTTTTGGAGAAACTTCGAATCATTTTTTCAACATCAACATCAATGACTCTGAATGATGTGTTTGATAATGCAGTCAAACGTGTTCCACACGTTTTTGATCTTTTTTGCTTACCATTTTTAAAAACATTCGTTTCCTTACTACACAATGAATGCTTCCTACATTCCGTAGAAAAATCATATAGGTATATTATATATTATTGTAACAATAGAAGTAAATGTCAATGTACTTAAGTAGTACGTGCGATCACGACGATAACGTGGATAGTCTACGCCGTCGTTAGCTCGGGCTATTAGAAATTACAAAACTATAAATAGAATTGACTGAAACCAATATAATTTTTACAAAATATACTCAATATAGAAATAATTTAATGTTTTTTATCACGCAAGTATAAATATCATCCTATTGAAAATAAAGTTAAAGATAGTATTATTACTATATACACATAGACATATATAGTACCTACATACTTATAATAATTTTCACCAGCCCCTTTTTTTTGAGATTGAGTGGGGACATTTCTCTTATACCCCTCTCGTATCCACATCGAATTAAATGTAGGTATTAGGGTAGACAGTTATATTTTGATCGCAATTATATATTGTTATAAAAATGGCGCATTCTTTTTTTTTTCTAGTCGAGGATCTCATTACACCAGCAGGAGCAACCGGAGCAGAGGGCCGGCTCCCAGCCACTACTCGTATCGGAGCAACGGTCTCGCTCCCTCGGAAGTATCGACGGTCAAGTCCAAGATCACACGCAAACCGGGCGTCACCATTGAGACCATGTCGGCGCCAAATCCGTTTTGCCCAAACACTAAGGGCATGTGCTGTCTGATGCTGCTGCTTAACCTGGGACTCATATTGGTTACGTTGGGTTTCGTCATCGTCATACAATTTTTTGAGCCCCTGTTCGTGTGGTGAGTAATATATATATATATGTGTGTTACATCCTGCCCATCTGTTTACCATTCGCCTCAACTTCGTATACTCGTAGACATAAAACAGTCGACACAATGGTTGGAAGTCATTACATAGTAATAATAATTATTATTATTATGACATTATGACAATAGATATACTATTCTGTGTAAAATATCAATATACGTACTTATTAAACTTGATATCAATTAGAATGAATGGACGCCAAATCTCCTGCAAGCAAAACGCTTGTGGCGGGGATAAAAAGTTTGAGCTACTCATCAGTCAGAGTTTTCATGGAATAAATCTAAATTAATTTGGAAATAATTGTACTAATACTCGTATACTTTTAACCAAAAATAGTTTACCAAAAATCTACTAGACTTTTTTTCGTCAGAAAAATTCCAAGTACAACTGTTAAACTGCCAGGTCTGAGGTCACAACAATCAACGCTTTTTGAAACACGTCGAGCAGTGTGTATTATATGCAACAGTATTATTTAAATATTTTATTGCGTCACTTACAAATAATTTTTGAAGTTAGATTTGAATGAAACTTACTTATTTTACTCCAACTATATGATAATAGAAATGTGTATTTCATGTTTGAGAACGTAAACATTTTGTTTTCTCAAAATTATTGCTCTTAAAATACATTTCTTTCGCGTTTCTCATGTGGTATATTATGTTCACGTATTGCCACAACTTTATCGCATTATCTAGTTTACAAAATTAATAAAATATTAATATTATTTTTCATACAAGTTATTTAGTACCTAGGTATTTTTTTTTAATTAGTTCTTACGTAATTGATATTGTTTAACCTCATATGGGTGGAAGTACCTATGATGTCTTTCTAAGCCGTAAAATGAGTTTTAAGACTTGTGTAAAAACAAATAATTAAAAGTTACGGTTTCGACTTTGGCGAAAAAATATTTTTGGCACCCTCCTCCCCTTAGTTTTATTTTTCTTACCGAGTATATGTATTATATTTGTGTGTTTTAATGTTTGTACGACGTCTGATTTTGTTTTTTTTCCATAGGGTATTAGGCATAATATTCCTAATTTTCGGTTTCTTGACACTCATGGGCAGTCTGATCTACTGCGTAACGGTGTGCAGGGACGCCAAGACGCCCAAGGAAGTGGCTATGCAAAATCACTACTGGACGCATCATTGGCAAAAGAGTTTCGGTGCCACACCCGAAATACATTATAAGACGGAGAAGTATCCGCCACAAGCCGTGAACCATTCGGACCACGATGAGTACAGCGATCGATTTTCAATCGGCAAACAATCTGACAGGCACATGCACGGACACAGATACTAATTGCTTAGTTAAACATAAATGTACATACATTTTGTAATGTTTTTTTTTTTTTAACTGTAAATATTTTAAAACGGTTATTTTTGGTCGACCAATTTAACATAATAGTGGTCATGCTAATATGACACCCATGTCTTTAATATCAAAATAATGTATAATATACAAATAGGTAATATTTGAATAGTTATTACTAATCATACAAATATAACAGTAATTTATTTCAACTATTGAAATAAAGAAGCCGTTTATTACCTTGATTTAATTAAAACACTACTACTTCTGTCCACAAGTTGTACAATTAATAAATGTCTAAAAAAAATTATGCTTGAAATTATTTATAAATGTCATTTCTTATCAAACTAAAATTCAGTAATATTAATAAAAAAAATAACACCAAACATTCCTAACATGTAATATGCATTGTAATTTGATTTGTTATAAATTATAGAAAAACTGATATTTAGAAAATTCAGAATTTCTAACACATAATAACAAATTATTAAATATTTATATACCATTCATACAAATATGTATATACTTCATTTAAGTATAAATAAACGTATAAAAAAATTTATTGTTCATTATTATTCTATAATAATACAATGTTATGTTAATCATAAATATACATCAATCACACCTAAAAAAGAATTTAATACTACAGAGTACAAGTAATGTCTGTTGAAGATATAAAAATGAATTAAAATAAAATAAAGCTCATTTAAATCGGTATTTTCTACACTATTCATGAGTGAGAGGATAAGATTTTACAGAAATACACATAAAAATTAAAATAAAAAAAAATACAATAAAAAAAAAAATTGTACATTTTTTTGAAAATTTTCAAGTGCTCCTAAAATTCCTTAACAATAGTTAAAACTAAACATAAATTAGGTACTTAAATTTATTTTCTATCAAGAAACATAAATTTAGTGAGTTCTTCAAGTAAACAACAGAAAAAGAATAAAATTATGTTATAACGAGAATTCATAATTAAACATGCATATTCTAAGTATATTAATGGTCTTATTCTGAATTTGAATCAAAAGGGGATTTTGCTTTAACCTTCTTTGCGGGAGGTTTTCTACTCGAAGATTTCTTTTTAGTTCCTATTAAAAATAAATGTTTATTAATTAGACAAATTACATTAAAATAAATTTATAATCACAGTAAATAAAAATGCTTGGTAACAGTAATATTTAATAAACAAAAACATTTTACACTTTGGACAAAACGTATTTATTGTTATATTTTTTAAAAATGACTGATCAAGGGAATTATTTATCTCACAAACGTGAAGATTTTAAAAAATATTTAAATGAATTTGGCGTTATTGATGCTTTAACCAATGTATTAGCAGATCTTTATGGATTGGAAATAAGACCAACAAATCCGTTGGATTATATTCGCACTCATATGACAAAAATTGTTAAGGAAAGAGAAGAACTGAAAATACTTAAGGCCAACTATGAAAGTTTAGTTAGTCAAATTCGAGAAATAGAAGAAGAGAATATGAAACTAGCAAAGACAATTAAAGAGTTAGAAAACTATGAGAATGAGTTGAGCAAATCTAAGATAGAAGAAACTGATGAAAATAACATTGGAACAGAATAATGAAATAACTATCGTGAATATTTTTTTGGATTAACTGTAATAATAAAAAATGTAATTGTTGAGCTATCATAGTTAATACTAGTAGCTAAATAAATAAATAAAAACTTATAAAATGCAAAATAAAATATAAAACTAGAAAAATTCTACAATATTTATAAAACAAATAACTAATTTAATTTTTTACCACGGATGACTGTCTAATAATGCAATTATTTTAAAATTACAATTTTCCATTTAGTAATATATATATAAGAAAAATACAAATTACTAGGTTATATAAAATCTAATGTTTCATTTATTAAAAAAAAAAAAAATAGTAGTAGTAGCATACTATTATATTATATTCAAGTTAAAGGACATAGTTGGTGGCTAATTAATGAATAGAGGTATGGCTAAAACTACTAATATAAATGGTTGACTTGATAAATATAATGATTGTAGCCTGATTCTCAAACATCTTTCTTTTTGAATAGAGTATAGATATATTTCCTCAGCAAGAAAAATTAAGGAATCATAGATATGTTTTCGAACACAAACCTAACCAATATAAGTCATTTTAAATCAGTATTTAGATTACTACTAAAAATAATGGATATTCAGTCAATATAGTAAAATATTTCACTCAATAAAGGTACATGAAATAAGTTATGACCAGAAAAAAAAAGATGTATCCATTCCAGAAACATATTATGTTAAAAGAAAAAATATAATTTTAATCATTAAAATGAATACCTGATAATGGAATAAAATCTTCATCTGATGATTCAGAAATTTTATAACTATCATCGTCATCTGACAGGGCATGCTTCTTTGTACTTTCTTTAAATAAGTCATCAAAAGATTTTTGAGGTTTACCTAAAATAAATAGAATGAATATTAGACATTTCAATAGCTTGAAAAAAATAGTGTATAAACAACAACTTACTACTAGTAGATGGAGATTTGAATACGTCATCTGAATCTGAAGAGCTGTTATATTTACGTTTCGGTTTAGAAGCTGCAGCTCTTGGTTTTCTAACAGGTTTTGCTACAGGTGAATCACCAGCGTCATCACTAATACTAATCACAGGATTTTTTTTAACTGGTGCTTTTTTAGCTGGTGCTCTTTTTGCAGGAGGTTTTTTGGCTAAAGATCCATCATCTGTTGTCCCTTTGGTGCTAGCTGTGCCATTATTTTTTTTAGCAGGCGCTTTTTTGGCAGCTTTTTTAGGAGATTCTTTCTTTTTTTTCGGTACAAACTCATCATCTGATGAAGCCCTAAAAATAAAATAACATAATAAAAATTATTGATTGAAATAAAAGTATTATTCTTTTAATATTATGCTAAATTAACCTTTAACTAAGTGTGCTACTTTTCTTTTCAATAATTACACACCTTAGGTATTTTTTTACTATGTTTTAGTTGATATAAGTATTACACGTATTTCGTTCAGCAACACAAAAATAATTTAAAATGGAACTTGTTCATTCTGTTATAAACACCATATGATAACTAAAATAGATTTCTAACACGATAAGTGTGATAAGGTAAAGTTAAACTAAGAGAATAATTTAAAATAATTATAAACCTATATAGAAGAAAATTGAGAATTTAGAATATAAAGTATACTAGAATGTATAGTTGAGAATTAAAAATAAGATTAAAATTAGGAAACCCATCTACTGACAGTAATTATAGAATGTATCTTATCATTAAGTAAATTACTGTAATGTATATGTTAAATAATCATAGCACATGAAAATTAATTCTGAATGAAGATGGTCTGTGAACCTATATTATTAAGTATATGACTATGTATATTTCTATTAAATTTAATATACTATTTGTTTAGGTATGTTGATAACATTTAAAAATTATATTTATTAACATTTAATTTTTTTAATAATATACATTTATTTTTATATAATTTATTATTGTTAACCTTATTAAATAGGATCATGTTGTAAACAAGCAATAGTTTAAAATTATTATCTTAAACATTTTTCAGTTTTAGAATAATAACTACTTGTAAGTGACCTTATATTAAATTTATTATCAACACTTATAGAAAAAAAAACATATAAAAAATTTTTTTAAATCTATTAAAGGTAAGTAAGTTTGCCACAAAAAAATAAATTAAAATAATACTATATTATTTGTTATAGATTAATAAATAAAAGGAGTAATAATTGGTAGGCATAATTATACACCGGCCGTCTAATGGATGAAAATAAACATTTTTAAATATAAAATGGGATACAAAATTATAATCATAGAGACAATTTATTAGTCCACATAAAAATCTGATTTGAAATTTACCATTTAAAGCTAATATAGTTATTTAAAATGATAACTTACCCATCAGAAAATGCATCACGTATTGGTGAAGTTTTAAAACTTTGGTCAGATTTATTTCCTGGGTCATCTTCATCATCATCACCACTATCAAGTTTAAATGATATGTTGGCAGCTAGATAAATGAAAAAAAAACCATAACATTTAATTAAATAATAAATTATAAATATAAATAAGATATATATTTAAATACCAGATTGTCGTTTTAAAACAGTTCTAGGTGGTGGAGGAGAATCAGACAAGTTACCAACATCATCATCATCATCATCAATTTTACTACTAAATTTCAATTTGGTTTGTTTCAAACCATCCGCTTTCTTTTTAGGAACTTTCTTTTCTTTTACTTCATCTTCACCTCCTTCTTCACCTTCACCTTTTTTCTAATTACATAAATAAAATTTTTAATTTATTATCTTAAAAAAAAAAAAATAAGTATAATAATTAATAATATCTTTTTTTCAGCACGTTTTCCTTTATTTTCTTTAGCAGCTATTAATTTTTCTTCTTTTTTTAACATTTCAGCATCAATTTTAGGAATAACACGTCTTGCAGCAGGCGATGGTAATGAATCAGCAGCCATAAGTGTCTTTTTTTTACCAAGTACTAATTTACCACTTTTAGCAACTTTCGATTTTCCAGATTCATCACTTAATTCATCAAGTCTTTCTTTTTCTTCAACTTCATCCAACTAAATTATAAAAATATAGTTTATTATTATTTATAATAAATATAATAAAGCTTCGGAAATTTCGAACTTAATGAATTTATATATTTTTATTTAATAAAAAAATACTTAACAAGATAAATTATGTTTTAAGTTGAACAAATTATATATTAATTATATTAATGCTGATGAATTTAATTAAAATTGATAATTATCAAATAAAGATAAGATACTTGATAAAGCTCTTTTAAGTTTTATTTTTTAATGGTATGTTATTAGTAGACAAGTTATTACCATTTAGCCAATCTCATATTTTGAAGGATTTGATTAACATATTCTTTTTTATTAATTAATGTTAAATGTTTAATTTAAACGTTGAAAAATTAAAATAATTCCAATTTGGTAACATTCATAATAGAATAACAATCTCTAAATAACAAAGCATTTATTTTTAATTATATTCAATTAAAATATCATAAAAAACTACATAAAAAAATATATTTGATTAAATTGTTTTAAACCTATTTATTCTATTGAAAAATGTAATTATTTATAAAGAAACAATTTAGTGAGTGTACCAACTATGTCTGAATAGTTATTAAGGTTAGGTTACAACAGTTAATAACTTTGTGCACATAATTTTTACATACTTTTGCCAATAATGCATCTAAATCTTCAGTCCATAAATCAGAAGGCGACTTTTTCTTTAAGATATCTAATTCAGTACATTTCTCCTCTTTCTTTCTTAACAGTTCATTCTTTTTTTCCAATGTTAAATGCCAGAAGGACATGCCAAGCAAATAATCATAGTCTAAATTTTCATCATCTTTAGATGCGGCACTAGTTGATGGAGGTGTTTCATCTTCTTCTGTTTCTTCAGCAATTCTTTGAGCTTCATCTAACTGTAAACAAGTAAAAATAAATATAAATATACATGAAATATGATTTTTTTTTTTTTTTTTTACAAATAAAATTAAATAATTACCAAGACTGATTCTCGATCTTGAATTAACTTCCAAGACTTGACAGGGTCACTGTTATAGCCTCGTCTTACCAACTCTTTGACCATTTCTGATTTCTTACGATTTTCAATTCGTAAATCTCCATCACATTTTTCAACAATAAATCTTGAAAGCAAAAATTATAAAATGTAAAATGCATATAAGCACATAAATTAAATAAAAATTATACAATTAAGAAAAGATATTGAAAAGCTTAGAGTAATAATCTCATTTAAGGTAAAATAGTTGCATTATTCTAATTTAAAGCCAAAAATAAAATCAAAACCATGATGAACTGAATTTATAATGAAATTATTAAACCCATTAAAATATAATTTCAAACTTAAAATTTTAATGATTTTTTAGAATAATAAATAGAAAAATCTAGGAAACTTTTTCTGCTGTATAGTAAGTGTTGCATTATTATTGAGAAGATTACTATAATCAATATGTTAAAAATTTGATAACTTATAAAAAAAAAATTCTGAATAGAAACAGTATGAATTTTAACAGTTTTACATTGAATAATTAATTTTTTTTAAATAAATATGCATATCAAGCTAAATTTGCAAAAACATAATATACATATTGTATTTGTGAATTTATGAAAACTTAATATTAAAAAAATTAACCTTTCTGATTTATAAATAAATTTTATAATACATAAATCAAAAATTTCAAATTACTATAAAAAGAAACATTTTTTTTTTTTAAATTATATCATACCAAGAAAATATTTATACAAATTATACCGTGAAAATGTTAAGTCATTCATATTAGAATTATAACAAAATTAAATGATGAGATAAGTAATAATAAAAACTAAATATTTCTGATTTACCATATTTTTATCCAGAATATTTTGAAAAATAATGGGAATTTATTGCTTGTTTTTGACACCCCAAGTATTAATTAGATCAAATTTGCTGCCAAAAATTATTCCCCAAAATAAAACATTTTTATAACTGTTAAGGAGATATTACACAAAAATAAAAAACTAACCCATATAATTGTAAAACCCATTCATTGTACCACTAAAATCCCTATACATTAGTTTTTTTTTGCAATAAC